GTGAAGGATAAAGTGCAAAATAAGAAGTCAGGGGCATGTATTGATTCACCTAACTTGCAAGGAAATGCAGATTTTGAAGCTTCCAAAACAAAGCCTGCAAGTAATGAGAAGCTTAAAGAAAGCTTGAAGTGCAACCATTTAAAACTATGAAGAAGGATAAGAAGAGGGAGAACACCCTCTCTATATCATCATGAAGATTGCATCGTAGAACATAAGGGGTCTCCATCAACCCCTTAAACAAAATGGGGTTCGTCACGTCATTAGGGAACACAATATTGATGTTATGGCAATTTTGGAAACAAAACTTGATCATACGAAGTTGCAATGAGTTATGATGAACAAGTTTAGCAATTTTTTGCAAGCAAATAATTTCTCTGCGTACCAAGCTAGTTGGGTTTTGATTTTGTGGGATCCTTCGAAGGTGAGATTGGAAGTTATGGAGACTACTTCTCAAGTCATCCATTATCTAGCTACTTGAAAGGTAACATTAATTACTTTTCATGTTAGCTTCGTTTATGGCTTTCATACTATTGTATCCCGAAATTCACTTTGGAGCAACGTTATGGAGTTCTGGTCGAATCATTCTTTGTCTTGGTTGATTCTTGAGATTTTAACAATGTTCTTAAGAGTGATGAAAGGTGCATTGGAGTAGACGTTACCCCATATGAGTTAAAGGATTTTGAGGATTGCTACCTTCAAGTTGGTCATACGGATGTAAGGTCCATATGATGCTTCTATACATGGAACAATAATTCGATTTGGAGAAAGATTGATAGAGCTATGGCTAATGATGAATGGGTGCAAGCTGGATTCAATATCCTTGCAGATTTTCAACTATCGGGATGCCTATCTGATCATTATCCATGCATTGTCTCACTTCTTGGACAAGATGGGAGTAAGAGAAAATTATTTCGATTCTTCAACATGTGGACTAATCATATAAACTTCCATGACTTAGTTCAAAGTAGTTGGGAGCAAGAGTTCACGGGGACGAAGCAATTCACACTTTGCAAGAAGCTGCAAAGTCTCAAAGGGGCACTTAAAAGGCTTGATGACAAATACTTTGGACATATTTCTACTAGAGCTGAATCCGCTGCAAGGGAACTAAAGTCAACACAGTTGGAGTTACATGATGATATAACTAATTCTTGACATCAATGTAAGGTGGCTCGATTGAGAAAACAAGCCAGGGACTTGGGTGAAGCTGAAATGAGCTTTTATTACCAAAAAGCTAAGTGCGAGTACTTGAAGAATAGTGACAAATGCACTAAGTTCTTTCACTCGGTGGTCAAGAGAACATAAAAAGTCACTATATTACAGCTGTACTTAAAAGAGACGGAGCTTACACTACGTTACAAGATCAAGTTGTGGATGAATTCACCCAAATTATGCTGATTTTCTTGGCACGAGCAGCACGGTACAACCAGTTGATATTGGTATATTGCAGAATGGCCCTTTAATTCATTGGAACAAGCACAAAACCTTGTATGGGACATTTCGAAGAAAGAGATTAAAGAAGCACTATTTAGTATTGAAGATGACAAATCTCTAGGGCCGAATGTTTATTCTTCATATTTCTTTAAGAAGTCTTGGGAGATTGTTGGAAGCGATTTATGGATTCGATTGAAGAATTTTTCTCGTCAAGGTCTCTTCTTAAGCAAACCAACCACACAGTCATTGCATTGGTACCAAAGGCTACTCATTCACCTACTGTTGGAGACTATCAATCGATTGCTTGCTGCAACGTGTTCTATAGAGTTATGACCAAGATCTTGCTTCTTGTTTGGGGCCTATTCTTGATACTATTGTTAATCAAGCACAAGTTGCATTCGTGAATGAGCGTAGTATGATTGAAAATATTCATCTTGCTCAAGAACTTTTTGAGACAATATAATCATAATAGAGATGCTCTTAAATGCCTTTTTAAGATTGATTTAAGGAACACATACGATTCGATCAATTGGGACTTTCTTAGATCCCTTTTTGAAAGGTTAGGGTTCCCTAGAAGATTCATCTATTAGGTGATGGAATGCATTACTACACCTTCATATTCCATTGCACTAAATGATGGCTTGCATGGGTTCATTAAGGGGAAAAAAGGGCATTCGGCAAGGTGATCCTATTTCTCCTTTTTTGTTTGTGTTGTGCCTTAGATATTTTTCAAGGAAGTTAAAGAGAGCAACCGTGAATAGTGATTTCAACTATCATCCAAAATGTGGTCCCCTAAAGATTACATACTTGGCATTTGTGGACTTGATGCTTTATGCTAGAGGAGACGTAACTTCGGTGAACATCTTGATGGATTGTCTATCTCACTTTGGGGATACTTTGGGACTAAAGATGAATACTGCCAAATCTAGCCTATATATAGCCATAATTCATGTGCAAGAGTTGGAGGATATCCAAGAGTTAACGAATATACCATGGGGTTCAATGCCATTTCGTTACTTGGGCATTCCACTTGTAGCCGGAAAACTCAAAGTCGGCTCTTATGCTCCATAAATAGACAATATTCTAGCATATATTTGTTCATGGACAAGCTTATCGACGTCCTATGTGGGAGAGCCGAACTTGTGAGATCTATGCTTCAAGGTGTTAGATGTTTTTGGTTGTCTATCTTATCGATCCCAGCTAGGGGTGGGCATGGGTTGGATCGGGTTGAGTTGATTTTTGCCTCAACTCAATCCCAACCCAACATGACCGGTTTAATCAAAATTTAACCCAACCCAATCCAACTCGTGTAAAGGTTGAAATCCAACCAAATCCAATCAAGTATCGGTCAGGTTGGGTTGGTTGGTTTGTGACGACTTGTCAACAAAAATTAAAGTCATACAATTTTCTATTATACTAAATTCGAATAGACAAGATTAAATAGTAAACAAATAAACAAATAAATAAAATTACCTGATATCTTATTCAATCCTCATTAGCCGAACCTATAAAGAACAAAGTGCATTTAATATAACATGAAAAACTTATACTACATTTCTTGTGGGAAGGACAATAAGCTCCTCTTCTAAAACGCACAAAGGTAATTATAGTTACACTATCTACTCATACTTTTTAGGTTCCTTTTACTTATTAGGCATTTTATTTATTTATTTATTAAAAGTAGGTAGGTGGGTTGGACGAGTTTATTCGGTTTTCATGAATTAACCCATAACCCGACCCGACCCGACCCGTCTACATGATCAACCCACCCAACCCGTGTAAAAACAACAAAAAAAATAGACTCAAACCGACTGGGTTGGTTCGATTTTGACGATTTTGACATGTTCGGTCGGGTTTTGCCCACACCTAATCCCAACTACAATTACTTCAAGAATTATTACATTTTGTCGAAACTTTCTCTGGGGATCTAAAAAGCCGTTGGTAGCATGGACAAATGATTCCCGTCCAAAAAGTGAAGGAGACCTTGGATTTAGAAACATCAAATACTCGAATTCTGCATTGCTTGCAAAATCACTTTGGAACATCCATAACAATGATTCACTTTGGGTTCGTTGGATCAATCATGTTTATTTGCAAGGGACAACAATCTGGGACATTTCATCAAGAAATGGAGATTTCCTGTTGCTTAGAAAACTACTGGAAATCAAGAACAGAATTGGCCAACCTGAAGGAACTGCTCAAGCTGCTTTGGACGGGTCATCGAAGTGGGTGGTGTTAGAAAAATTACTAATTGCAATACAGTAAAGTGCAGAAATAAAAAACTTATCGACTGATTGAGTCTCTTGACAACACGATATCCTAAAACGAAATTGCCCGTTAATAACTGCGGCAACCTCTGTGGACAATCACCTCCAGGATACAACAATCAAATAAACCAATTGTGCAGCAATGACAAATGGTTTTCAGAACTCTCAAGTGTACTCCAAAAAATATGTATAAAATTGAGCATAATATTTTACTGAATATAGGAAGATACAATTTCGTATTGTGATAATTTTGTAATGTCCAAATGTGTGTTTATATAGGCAGAAAAATGATGTAACTGCCTCCACCATGATCCAGTATGATTTGTAATTTTTATGGCTAGTGGTAATGTGTTATTACTATTGGACAGTTAAAAACTGTCATATTTTACTGGCTAGTTGACCCATTAAATAATTCCAAAAATGATTAAAAATAATAATTTATTATTAGAATCAATCAAGCCCAAGGCCCCCCAATCCCCAATCAAAGACTTTTAATATAATGCGTGAGGTGTTACTCGAATCCCCGACTTCCCACACAAATTCCACACTTTTCACCAATTGGGCATTTCATCTGAATTAGTTATTTCTTTCACATATTATATTTATTGTATAAATATCTAACAATCCCACACATGAAAGAAATAAAATAAATATAAATACTATTTTGGAGTACGGTAGAAATCACGGAAGCTTAGGTGTCTATTGACTTGAACCTTAGCTTTATATATTCTATCGAGTTTGCTAACTGCAGAGTGAACTATGACTTGAACTCCACAATTATGGTTGCAAACTGAGACAATAGTACACACACATGACTTCTAAAACAATCATTGAGTTCTCGCGCTTGTGTTTATTTCGACCATGATCTTTCTCGACTTCTTTGAGTGCTCTAGAGAATTAACCTCAATTCTCATAGGAAGCAACCCCACTTCCACACTCAAATAAGTGCTTCTATCTAGGGTGCACTGTATCTAAACACCCCATTGAATATCAGCTATAGTAAGCATTAAGAGCATTTGCTCATCCTCTAATCAATACAGTTTTTAATGCTCATCATATGGAGGGGTTTGGAATAAATTCAATGTAGTACCCAATCAAAGACTTTTAATATGATGCGTGAAGTGTGACTCGAACCCCTGAACTGCCACATAAATTCTACACGTTTTACCAATTGAGCATTTCATCTGAATTAGTTATTTCTTTTACATATTATATTTATTGTATAAATATCTAACAGGTTGTTGGAGGTAACTTGAGCAGATCACATGCATATAATTTTATCAATTAAATAGCTACTAGCAAATGTTGCTACCATTTTACTTTGGCAGTAAGATTAATATATAGCTCAACTTGTAATAAGCTTTTACAATTTCTGGTAGCAGATAGTACTTTGAACCCACCAACAAAATCGAAATTTATAGTAAGAGGGGAGGTTTATGAAAATTTTGGATAAGGGTGTTTTTTTATTCTCATAAACCTTAGGGGCGTCTTTGTAATTAAATATTGTTGAAAAAATAATGTTATAGAACTCGTAAGCCCAATATGAAAATATCTTTTATTTGTAATTTTGTACCGATAATCTTATAATTATTATATCTGAACAGCTTTCTTCTTCAAATTCCGACTTCGTATCTGCATTCACCACCGCCATTTGACCGGTTGGAAGTGGTAAGAACTACTCTCTGTGTGTGTGTGAAGAAACAAGAAATGAAATCCATTTTTCTTTGCTCAATTACATGGTATAATTCTACAACAATGATTTTATTTTTTGGGAAATTCATACAAACATCCACATAGCTTTCTTATTATCTAATCCTACAGTAACTGAGAGCTTATTTTGCTTTTTTTTTGGCGATTTATTGGTGCAAATATTGTTTGTATTAAAGGAGAAACAAAATGGACATGTCTTGTGTTTATGGGCAATATCCCAATTCTACCTTTGGGAAGCCCACCGCCTCTACAAGTTCACTCTTCACAGCTCAGTTTCTAGCAGTGCCTCAAAATAGCGGAATCCGTATTACTAATATCAAGTTCTCGCCTCGTATAATTGCGTCTAGAGCAGCATTGGATTCAAAGGACCTCAACGTGGATGTTAAGCTAGGCAATGATACATCTGCAAGTACAAGTAATAGTAGTGGCGGTGGCATTCTGAATGGGAAGGCTGCCAAAGGGTCAGGGACCACAGCCAGAGGACGCCGGTTGTTGAGGGTTCGAGAGGAGAAGAGGAAGCGCGAATATGATCATCTCCGTAACTATCCTGCTTGGGCAAAGTCATTCTTTCTCCTCTCATTACAATTTTGTTGATTGCAATTTTGCGATGCAATAAGTGAATGAGTATTTTACTTGTGTTAAGTGCAGGGTGTTGGAAGATGCTTGTAAAAATGATTCGGAGCTTCGAGCTGTTCTGGGTGATAGCATTGGTAACCCAGAACTTATGAGAAAAAGAGTAAGTTCCAGTTTGTTCAAATTTTATCCAACTGTATGATGAGTCTGAGTTGGTTTTGTTTTGTACTACTAAATGCTTAGTTGATAGATAATGTTTGGTAGATTACTGAGTCACTCTCAGTATCTGCATTATTTGATTGAATGAAATATTTTTTTCCAATTAATAGAAAATCCGCTATGTTAAGAATTCAAGAGTCCAATTAAGTCTACTACAAACAGTCACAGAGATACTCTAAAAGCATATCCGCTATGCCGTTTGTTAATAGTTTGATTATTGCCTAGATTATAAGCCACGCTGTTACTACCATCTATTGTCTAATGATTGACTTTAGGGAGTAATGGTGCAGCTTAGATACACCATAGCTACTGGGATTGACAAAGGTTAGAGAAAGGTGAACCATGACTAACATGTATCAACGGAGTTAGAAATTGTATAATAACTTTTTGTTTGACAGAATTAGAGGATCCCATTTGATTTATGATGCATATTGAGTTCAGCTGTTGACTCTGCTATGTATTTTGATGGTCATACCTTAAAAAATGTTAACAAACATGTATAGATTTGTTAATGAGCTTGGATTGGGGTTCATATAATCTCCCTTGTAATTTACGCAGGGCATTTTCAAAGGTGTTTTCTTTGTGTTTCACTGTTCAATTGTAAACCTGAAAAGGGTCGGACTGACGTGTAAAGAAATTGTTTGAGTGCCTGGGCATATGCTATAAAAGAATCGACCTTTAGCTTTTGTTATTGCTTCAAAACCAGTGATTTCATCCTTTCTTGAAGCATAAAATTCTCTACTCATGAATTTTGTTCTTATGTTTAAATTCTGTAACCTGATGTTTATATTGTTGATAGGTTGAAGAAAGAGTTCGACAGAAAGGGCGGAATTTTGAGAAATCCAAAACAGGATCAGTCCTTGCCTTCAAAGTCAGCTTTAGAGAGTAATGCACCTCTTACGCAGACATGTAGACAAACATGCATTCACTGTCCCTATCTGTTTATCTCATTTCAGTGCCTAAATTTGCTCTGAACTCTCTGAAACTCCTTTCCTCACTATTCTTCTTTTGCTTTTTTTGTTAATCAGAACTTATATCTTTGTGATTGTGGATCAAGTGAGGTAGTAGCTGCATCCCTATGATAATGTTTCTTATATTTACCTTGGTGTTTGAATTTCATCTCTTAGAGTTTTTGTTCTCTGCTTATTAGTTAAACTGGATGTAAAGTTAGAGACTGATGGACAAATACACTGATTTTTAATTTCCTTCATTCTTATATTACGGATAAACTATGTATGTTTCATAGGTTAATCGAATTAGTCTTTTAGTACTTTGGTCCATGGCTCTCGTTTGATTGTCAGGAAACATTTGCAGTTGAAAAACTAAATTGTCACTCTTTTACTTCAATGCTTTGATATGCCTCTGGAAGGCTATACCAAGCAACCACTGACTGAGTTGGAAAAATGAAGAAAACATTTTTCGCTCTTGAGTAGTTACCTTCCTTGTAGATTGCCAAGATACTGAAATGCTGACCACGTGAAGGGAAGTGAAGGAGAAATCATAAGGAGTGCCTCTATTCAACCAGAATGCTCAAAGACTAAATTATAGACCTTTCATAGGAATGCTATCAAAGAGATACTACAAATTTATAACTGTGCTTTTGATAGAGCTTTTTGCCAAAAGATGGTCATAATCCAAATTGAAATAATTTTCATTTTCTTAATCAACCAGGAAATTTCAGACTTGGGGATAGGGGATTGGTTGATTGGTTTTTCATTGAACGCTGCTGTGCAGTTGGGGTAAAAAATTGTTATGCTTTATTGCACACAAATACTTAGCATTGGATAAATCAATATTTGACACATTTGAACTGCAGTAAAATTGCACCTGTCCACATGTTTTATGAAGGGATGTCTGTCCAAAACTGCTTATTGTATTTTTAGGATAATTGCAGGGTCCTGTTTCAACCTTCTGTTACCCATTTTGTTGTGCAATTATTGTTTGATCTCATTCTTATTCATTCTGCACTATTTACTATTCCAATTTTGGCCCTGCACCATCACTAAATCATAATACCCTGGTCAAAGCTTTTGAGTTTCTAGCATGTCATGTGGCATCACTTGCTGTTACTTTTATCATTTCTGAATTGGTTAGGGAAACCTTTACAGCATAAAATTGTAAAGTGAAGGAGGGAGAAAAGAGAACAATATAGTGTCATATCGTGGGTTTGTTTGGCATTCGTCGAGTTCTCTTTAAATTATATGGGTCAGTAAATCGTTTAATCATTTTTCGGTTAATGTTTTTTCTATGATTATGACTTGAAAAGGAAATTCTTAAGTGCAATGCTTTATTATATATGTTCCTTTTTAATTTTTTGTAAAAGTAGCCTGTGTATAAATAGTATTCAATGTATTTTGATGCACTATAGACATGAATTTTCTCTGGATAAAGAAGAGAAGACACAAGTTGACCTGAATTTATGTGACAAAGTCTAACCACCATTGATGCATATTATTGTACTCTGTTGAACTATCATTTTTTGGCACTTGATGCTTATTCAGTTTATATGATTGCCAGTTTTAATCCTCTAGATTCCTACATATGGTTTGAATTATATGGATCGCCGTCGGACCGAGATGTAGATCTTCTTGGTAGTGTACGTATATTTCTATTATATTATTCCTATTCTACTAAGTTCTATCTTATTGACCATTCAAATTTCTGAAAAGCAAATTCTTAATTTTTTGTATCTGCAAGATGCTATTTTACCTGAAGTGTTTGATAAACGTGGTTTTCTTATGTAACAGGTTATTCAGTCATGGTACGTGATGGGTCGCTTAGGTGCATTCAATTCATCCAATCTACAGGTTCTGTGTTTCTTACTTGCGTGCTTTTACTACGTTATTAGTATCTCCCTTTTCATTGTCGTCCTGATTGATTCGTGCTTTAAATACAGATATATATAGGCATGTTTCTCTGCATTTTTGGCAATATCATGCTTACTCTAAATTTTCCTCATTCTTTGTCGAAGAACTTCGCACTTAAATTTCTGGCTAAAACTTGAAGCATTGGTCAAATTGAATAGTTTAGTTTCTTGATCTCAACAATGTATATGCGAGGACTAGAAGTTGTAAGGATATTCACATTCTATATGCTGAAATAGATTGGACCTACATTTTTAACCTTCTCATTACATCACCAATTCACTAGATGATCAGGTGGAGCAGACCCATCATTAGCTTTATATGGCTCCTTTCCTCCTCCCTAGATAACTGTTCATGTAGGATTTCAAACCGACCTTTCCTTTGAAAGCCCTTTCCCAGTTAAGATTTTTCTTTATTTTCTATTGGCAAATGAAGAAATATAAGTCATATTTTTATTATTGTGTCAAAAGTATTGATAGTAATACAATATATATACGGCTGACTTCTGTTCACATATATAATCTAATTATTTTGAATCTCGAATCCTATACATGGAGAGCAGGCGTAAGACCTGGATTTGAGTTTTGCCGCCTTCCATTTATACAGTAATTGGGCAGGGGTCAGACCTTTGATAAAAATGAATCGACCACTTGAGGGAGCGAGTTGAAAACTAAATTTAAATAAATAAATGTGTTCCCTCGCTAACAGTTTAAACGGATTTGAGTTTTTCAGCCTTCTATTTACTAAAAAGTTGTGCACGTGTCAGACTTTCAATAAATTGAATTGAGCCAATTATTGTTACTCTTAATTGTCAGAAACATGTAACTCAGTTTTTACTTATTGCAGATGGCAAGTTCATCTATGGAATACAATCCTTTGTACGATGCAGATAAGGGTTTTAAGGTGATGCCTTCATCGTTCCATGATATAAGTAACGTTGAATTCCAGGACAACTGGGGCAGGATTTGGTATGAGTTTTCTGATTGCACTTTTGATGATCACCTATCAAATTAGATTCCTCCGATTTTCACTAGGATCTTATTTCCATGGATATGGTAACAGGGTAGACCTTGGAACGGCTGATTTCTTTTCAATCGACGTTCTCCTCAATTGCTTGACTGTATTAAGCTCAGAGTAAGCCTTTGATTTCGAGCAAATTCTATGGTGGCACACTAGCATATATGCCCTCTTCAACTTTGATTGCTATTTTTGTGGCAGGTATTTGGGCATTCAACAGGTAGTTTTTGGCGGGCGCAGAATGGGAGATTGGGAAGAGGGGATGACTAGTCCTGACTATGGCTACAAATACTTCAAAATCTGAAAGCCTTTTGCACGAAGAAACAATTTTCCATTGAATTAGGAGGCGGCAAAAGAAATGCTCTACCGTGGTGGTGCTCGAACCCACAAGGATAAGGCGACGAGCCTTGAGCTCGACTGACTAAAAACTCGCGTCACCCATGGAACATTGAGCATTCCAATCTAGTATGAAATTTTTATGTAATGATCTTTTGGAAGCTGACAATAATGTTTGCAAATTTTCAGCTCTTTTTTATGTTAAAAATTCAATTTGCAATTGCTAAATTGCTTCCATATATTCAGCTAAAATGATTCACTCTCCATAATGCAATTTGATTTAGTTTTGGTATAGGGGTTGAGATAGGGGGAAAATTTATTTATCATTTTTATACAAGTAAAAAATTAAGGCGATAATTGCACATTAATATTTTATTTCAGGATTTATATTCTTTGTATCTATTATTTCTTCAAATTTTTCGACGGACTGAAAGTTTGGTGATAGAGTTCCTTAGAGGATGATATTTATTATTTAATCTTATTCTTTCTTATAATAATTTATTTTTTACATTTTAGTTAAGTGAGAGCGTCTACATCGTTACTCATATTTTAGGATTTTCTGTTCAAATGACTGTCTTTTATTTATTTTTGGTTGGCCGATTGTTGAATAAAAATAATATATTTTGATTTTTTCTAAATTTCTCAATTCTCGGTATTCGAGTTATTAACGAGTTCAAATTTTTGGCATTCATATGCAAATCAACGAGTTTAGATGTCTAATTTTTTAGTATTTTAGAAATCAATAAATATTAGGCGATTTTGTTGTAATATTCGATTAAAATCAATACATACGATAGCTATATCATCGTTGTTTAGCATGAGATGAGATCCCGAAAAGACTAAAAGAAAACCATGTATTGGTTTAGGTAAATTCATTTGATTTTATAGAAGAAAATTTGATAAATCGAAATATTTCATAACTTTGTTAACTTGACCAAGAAAAAAGATGTTATTTTTGAGGATACTTAATTGAATGAAATTTGAAGTGGATTGATGTAGATACAATTATTAGACTAACCTTATTTTTTATTCGAAAGAGAGTTTTAAAGTCCCTATTCTGAAATCAATAGTTGTCGATCTTCAATTCAAATTAAGCCATGATTCTCACGAAGCAAAACCTTATTCTTCTAGATCCAAAAAACAATTATATTCATTAGATCATTTCACTCTATATTCACACAATTTGTACCCAAGCCTAAATCATCAGACAATTTTTCACACACCAAATGTGCACACACATGTATGTATTCCTCAATGAAACAAGATTAACAATGGCGCATAGATGCACACCTCCAATTCTCTCATTTTCATTTAATTGAGTAAAGCTTGGAAATTGTAATTTCTCTTTTGCCAAAAAAACTCGTACAATTTCCAACCAATTTGTTGATTCTGGCATGATCACGGCCCTTCGTCCTATCCATTGTAGCACGTGTGTCGCCCAGGGCAGACATGGACAGAAGTGACACATCGACACCATTCTGATTGATAAGTAAATGTTAAAACTAGTTTAACTAATGAAGTGGAACCTGGGTAAAGTTTTACGGCAAAAAATAGTTTACCCATAAACTGAAGATTTAACGAGTCCAATGAGTTCATTTGGATAGACATGGTATCCGCTTACCTAACAGCGTGGTGTTAACATGTTCTAAAAGCTGCTGCCTTTTAGCTTCAACTTCCATCCTTCAAATTGTTACGGACAATTTGAACTTTCTCCGTTAAATGACTGTTATGGTTTTCAACATCTTTCATGAGAGTAAGTAGCTAATCGATCTCGATATGCTGCATAGCCTGCATGCACGTAACCGTTTCTTCAATCAAAGTTCTGAGGTTAATTCTTGAATCTTTTTGTCTCTCTCATCCTACAAAAATAGCACAATTTGATTGATTAAATGGTGGACTGATTAATAAATAATGGAATTTCATTCCCACGAAAAACGTCTACAAATCACATTGTCTTACAGCATTTAAAAGAGATGGAAGAAAAGAAGAGAAATCCCTTGTAGCTATTTAAAAGAGGCGTACAAATCAAACACCATAATCTTATCAGGAAAGAAGATACAATAATGGTAGAAAACAGGCTTCCACTGTTTGAGCCCAACAAGCTGAGAAGAGAAAGAGAAAATTACCTAAAAACCTATTTTTAAAGTTTCCTTTTCAAAAAACTGGTGTATTAATTTTCTTTTCAAAAATCAGGTCTTAATTAGGTTTTAATAATTACAATTAATAAAAATTTAATTACAATATATAATTTCTCCCAACCCACTTCTCTCTCTCTCTCCAGAAGCTTCCCAGCAGCCCGTCGCCTCTCTCTCTCTCTAATTCCCCAACCCGTCGCCTCTCCTACCAGCCCGTCGCCGTCTTGAGAATCACCGGCGAATCAATTGCTACCTATCCATTGCACAGCTCTGCCGCTTCGTCTCCCAACCCCATCACCCTAGCTGTCGGCGTTGGTACTGTTCGGAGATGGCAGCGTTGTGAAAGGTGGAGGTGGTTGGTGCTACAGGTAGTCGATGCGCTCCACTACCCACCGGCAACCGTGAGAGTCGTCTGTAGCTACAAAGTGAATTTTGTCGTCGGTGCGATCTGAGCGTCGATGTTCTTTTTAACGTCGTTGCTGTAGCTGCGCGTCATCACCGCTGTGGGTGGTTTGCTGGTGGTTGGTGGTGTCGTTTGCAATGGTTTTTGGGCGGTGGTGGAAAATGATGACCGAGGTTCACAGGGCCAGTACCCAATCTGAGGTTCACAGTAAATGATGACCGTTCGGTGACTGAGGAATTGTTGTCTGCCAATTTCTTAATCCCTCCGGATGAGAATATGTATAGTGGGAAATCTATTGCCGAGCTCTGTTGTGATTCCTTGAAAGATTTCAATCCTATGGTTCGTGTTTCGGTTCAAAAAGGTTGTCTCCTTAATGTCGTTTGTTCTGCAGTGTCTTATGTGATTCGTTTTTATCTATTCTTTGTTTTCTAACTAATTAGCCCTTTGAATATCAAAGTTAGGCAACTAATTTTGAGTTCTTTAACACTCAAATTTCGCAGGTGATTTGTTAAACTTCGATGTGGATTTCTTTGACAAGTTTGATGTTGTAGTTGTCAGTTCTTGCTCACTTTCAACAAAAGTATGGAGTTGATCTCTCTTAAAAACATGTAAACATATCAAATTTATAAAGGCAGAAATCTGCAATATCATGCTAATAACAGGAAGAAATCTGATCACAGAAAAATTCCAATTGGAGGTGATGGTGGTGATGACATGTGGTGGATTGTGGTATGATCAAGTCACAATCGGTCACAATTAACACAAAATTGGTCACACACGGTCACACTGAACACAAATTTGGTCACAGTTGGTCACATTGAAGGTTGCAACTAAAGTTGGTGGTGTCGGCGAACTTTTCTGATACAGATCGCGATTTGACTACCGGATAGTTCATTGTGACTATTTGTGACCGTTTGTGGCCGATTGTGACCAATCCATGGGTTGGGGGTGTGATTTTCAATTTTCTGAAAATTTTAAAATTGCCGGAACGATCGTCGGAGAAGTCGCCGGAGTAGTGCCCGGACCGTCGCCGGAACAGTGCCCGGACCGGTGCCGGAGATGGAGGAAAGTGGTGTAGTGAGGAGATGGGGTGGGTGAGGTGTCGGGGTGGTGTAAATAATTAATATATATTATATTAATATGTAATATATTATAATTTAATATTTAATAAATTTATTTAGTACCTGATTTTTGAAATATTTTAAGAAGTTTGTTATTTATGAAATGTGAACTTTAAAAATAAGAACCATGTATTGTTCCCGAAGAGAAATGCTTGAAGCCTTTATCTTATGTTACGAATTACATTGTCCTGTTCCCCTGACAAATGGGCATATGGAAGTTAGTGATGGCAACGGGGTGGGTTCGGGGCAGGGCACCCCCATCCCGCCCCGCCCCGTCACGCCACTCCCTTGCTCCGCCTTGTGCCCTCCCGCATGGGCGGGGCGGGGCACGGGCCTGCCCCATTTGAATAGCCACATTTGTTAGTTAGTTTTTTTTTTCTTTAATTTTCAGTTAAAATACAAATTCAAAATTTTAAAATCCAAAGCGAATAATGTTCAAACTAGCTATATCAATATTCAAAGCAAACATTCAAAACAAAAAAAGTCCAAAACAAAAAATGTTCAAAACAGTAAAGTCCTTATTTGCCGAACATGCTAATGTTCACACAAATGCAACACTATAAATCAGAAAATATGAAGGTGATAAGTGTTTGAATTATCAAGCTTTAAATTTCATATTCTTGTACACAAGTTAAATAAGCTACAAGTGTGGACATGTTTCATTCAATCTCAAGCTTGTAAAATTACAACTATTTGCCTCCACCTCTATTCAATTGTCGTGTAATTTTGAGTAGAAAGTCAAACTCACTTTTATCACATTGAATGATGCAAGCAACAGTCAAGATTACGCGTGTGCGCTCTTATGATATTGCTTGCTATTATCCCTCCTCGACTAGAACTTCTCATTTCAGAGGGTGCAATTTATCAAATTTAATTTAACCAAAGCAACAAGATATTCACCACAAACAAGGACATAATTGACTCTAATTTGTTGAATTAGTGTGCATACAAGAAATGACTGATCGTTTAAAATGTGTACAAAACCACCAAAGGAGAAACTCGAGAAGCCAATAAAGAAACACGAGTAATTTCCACTGTTCGTCTCTAAAATTCGCAGCAGCTCGTGCAACTCTGTGGTAAAGTAATATGCGTGGTTCAGAAGAAGAAACAGAATAACAAGTGCTTCAAGGCAAAAGAGCTCATTTCAAATTTTACAATTCCAATTTCTTGAGATCTCTTAAAACCACCAGAAAATGTTTGCATCAGCAGCATATGAGTGAGTTATTGCGCACCTGTTATTTCTACAATGTGCATATCTATACAAAGAACTGAAACGAATTCAAAAACTACACTGGACATTCCGTGCTAAATCCATATAAGTTAAAGCGTGTAGCTGAAGCAATGTTAACTTCACCAAATAGCTTCCGGGAATTTATATGCTGACAATGTTCTGATCATGGCAGAAGATCCCAATTGTAAGTTAAAATTATCTCTGACTTCGTCGATCTTCAGATTCCAACTCGCTAACATTTTTTACAATGTGTTGGATTCTCTTTGACAGGGACTGATTGTGCTCCTCAATGTGCTGAAAAATCATATCCAGTTGCCTTTTATAGGTTGCAGCTTGCTTTTCAAAGGTTGCAGCTCGATTTTTTGCAATTGACAACTGTAAGGATAGCTCCTGGATTCTGTCACGTTCATTCTACACATAAAAGATATAGAAAAATGAGTATGACCAGAAATAACAAAGATCTGTATCTCGAAGATTTAATGCAGCTCAATAATTTTGAATTGCACCTGCACACCTCGTACAAAAAGAAAAGCTAGATCTGAATGAAATTAATTGAATGTAAATTACTAGGCCAATTATGAAAGCAAATACTATTTAAGCTTAAAACAAAGTTACAGAAAAGGGCATTGGTTTATCATCTAACATCTTATTTCATCAATAAATCAGATTTACACAATTGTTCAATTATAGAGAGAAATGAACTACACATATCAGACCCATTGTAAGCTATATATTCAAGCCTTAAATCATAAAACAGCATGAGACAATATGGTGACAACTGGCATTATTTCAATGCACCCTCCATACCTCGTGGGACTACCGAGATTTGCAACCACACAAAACTGAGCTAGTTACTTAAAATATATCATCTAAAAGTAAAAAATTCACAGCAAATAGAAATTATTTCAACAAAAAAAAAATGAAAATAGTAAGAGATCAACTACCCCATCCCCACCCCGATTGAAAAGATGGATATGGTATGAATCGTATGACAAAGCATACGAAACAAAACAGATTTATTCATTAATAAACGAGATCACTTGATACTTGAGTGTTTGTATGAAACCCAAACATCTCCAGGTGCACTACTTTTTAAAACAAAATTCAGCTGTTAAAAGTCTCAAACTAAGATGTAACTTGGCGAGAAATGCAAATGAGATTGCATGCTCAACAAACAAAAAGCATATGCAGGAAAATTATCATTGTGCAAGAACATAATCTTGCCTGAAGCCCTTTCTAAAAACTAAAAATGATCTGAAGGGCAAAAGGTGTTAGTTTCCAAGCCATAAAAGAACATGTAACTCTTTAATGAAATGCATAGATACAAATGAATTTGCTAATATCTTCAAAACTTTTAGGAAAGTGTTGAAAGAGCAATGCTGCTATTAGATGGGAGGAGCACAAGAAGAAGCCCGTTAACAGACTTTGAGATACCATATCTTTGGTTCAAACAACAGTAGGAACCATAGAGACTTTGAGATACCATATCTTTGGTTCAAACAACAGTAATTCACTTTGAAATATAAGCAATAGAATTATAGTACCTATGCAGTACAGCAGTCAAAGAGACGGTCGGAGATGACTAAAAAACTTAACTAGGGTAAGAACACTCGCAACTAAGCAGATATTATTAATGTTATAGGAATAACAATCCTACAAATTGGTAAGTTATCACATAAGTGTTGCAAGTGCAACTTCATATAAACTACAGTGGTCAAGACTTGCTGACATGATCTCACCATTTTGAATGTATTTGATCTAGAGAAGAGATGCTCCAAAAAAACACTACTGATATCATAAACAGAAAAAGTAACTGAATATCAAATGACAAGCAAAAAAAATACAAGGTTTTCCAATTTTCTAACTGCTTCTAACCAAGTCAAGGCACGCAAATTGACACACATGCATTAAATTCAATAAGACCCTTTACGTACTTCTGGCATAAGCTTAACAAAATATGATACAAAATGAAAAATCATAATTTATATTTCATATAGTTTTGGTGGTACTTTTTCCCATATTTAATATGAAACCTTCCTGTAATGATGTAAGCTATCACCACATATCTTTGCTAGGAGAAAACTGTATACTACAAGTTAGTGTACAGCATTCACCATGGATGATTCTGACACACCACTATTGCCATAAATGGTTGCAGTTAAGATTGTCTGTCCAGATCTTAACGAAGGCTTCACATATGCCGGGGCCATCTCATGATTATGCTCCTTAACAAATCTTGTAACTTTCCATTGTCCATTGTCATCACATGCGAAACATATCATTGCTTTGCATCCTGTCCTTGTTTCAGGCTTTTTATAAGCAAAGGCATCAACTTTGTCGTCCTTGATGCCTTCCTTGGAACAACAGTAAGATTTTGACCGAACCCTCTTTGTCCCCATGAAATAATATTGCTTTCCCCTCCTGACGCTAAAACCCATTGCTTGACCATAATCACAGTACAACAAATAGGCCTCCTCCTCACTGTACACAACTTGCTCCAACAATTTCTTTTCTAGCTCCTCAATAAGAACTTCATTCGAGCCCTCATTCTCATCAACCACTTCCCCACCGGAACGTGGAATCATTGCTCCTTCTTCATCGCTGTCAGTACAATTGGCTTCATGACTTTTGAGATCCAGTTCAGAACTCTCCATTTCTGTAAAGTAGAAGTAATAGCTCCAATAAGTCAACCTTTAGAGACCTTGATAATGAGAAAACAAATCCCTTAGTGTTGGTAGAGTACATAATTACTAGCAATCTGTACATGGTAGGGAACATCACAATGCTAATACATAACATAATAGGATTATAGGAAAAATTGAATTAGCCAAGTTTTATTATAGTTGGCGTTTCAAAAGCACTTTTAGATAAATCCAGAGCTAGGCGATTCAATAAATGTCTCGAGGCAAAACTTCTCATAGAAGTTGAAGTCGTAAAAGTGAGCTAGTGTTAAGACCTATTTGTTCAATGACTCTTACGGGTGCATTATCAGAGTTCAAATTTTTTTTGCAAATAAGTAACTTGTTTAAAAGACGTTAAACAATATCACGAAGCTTATGCTTTATTTACAAGGTCTTCTTCCATAACAAATGAGATCTGTCAAGCAATATTTGTCAACATTATCATATGAGTGTAACAAACCAAAATAGAGCAATCGACAGCTGAGACTTGTTACAAACTAATGCAACATAATCAACCACTCAAACGAGTAACCCATCGGCCTCTTATCGATTAAAATCCAAAATATTTTTTAACAATAATTTAAATATAAGAAATTGGGGCTATGGAGAATCATGGAAAACACTGTCCTCATGTTTTCCTCCATTTGTGCGAACTAGCGGTTCAAAACATCTCCAAGATAAAACCCTTTAAGCGCTCAACATGTTCTCCAACTATGTGCACAACTCTAAGGGTTATAGAACATACCATTTTCTAGTTGCCCAGATAAAAAAATAAAATACTATGTAACTAGAGAAAATAATAGTTCCACATCTCTCTTTTTCTTCACACAGCATGAAAATATGCTGAGGTATTGCGATAACAGGTCAATATGACTTTAATTTCTTAAACTATGAGATAGAATATATGTGAAGTAGGATGTCAAGTGTTCATATGACCACACTTTAACCCCTTCATAAAGTATTTTCTAAGTCATACTTCATAATTTCTTCTTGTGGACAACTAGAAAAAGTACGGTCATATTTCTCTAAGTTCATGTCTACAAAGAAGCTTCCAACCTTATTTCTTATATATGAAATATTATTTCTTGATGTTAGAACACAACTTTAACTTGTTGCGGAAAATGGTGATTTGTGCAGAGAAATATATACTCATTTACGAACAAATATTTTGTCAACAAAGGTTCAAATATATGATGTTAGAAAGTTGGCCTAAATGAACGATGATTAACATTGTCCTAAAGTCACATTGATCTCTAGCCGTGCTGGTAGCCTGGTACTACTGGTTTCAAAATAAAATCCCTTTAGCTATCAGCTAGTTCTAATACTAAGTGCACCAGCACGACAGCAATGATATAGACCACACATTTTTCTAGTTGCTAAATACAATAAAATATGAAGCATGAAGTAGAGTCAGATCTCAAGGCCCAAGGGTATGTAACTACACTTCAATCCCTCTTTATAGTGATGATATTTTATAAATTAAAGCATTGTTGTTAAAGGATAACAACAATAGTAACAATTTAAGATTGACAATTTGGTATAAAATCTGAAATTAAGTTTACATTCAAATTCATAACAGAAACTACAAAAATTGATAACTTTCAAGTGTCATAAATTTAAGATGTTACAACAGTGAATATGTATAACATCAGACCAAAATGTTTCATTAACTTAAAGTAGTAAACAAGAACCTTTTTTTTTCCAGCAGTTCAATATCTGTGGGCGTATGATTGTGCGACAAAGATCCAGAAAAAAACGAGAGAGAGGGAGCGCACCGATGAAGTAATGGACTTGGGGTGGCAATCGGCTCTCTTATCCGGCGGAGGGTGGTGGATTACGTGGCGGTATAACGGAAATTAGGGCATAGTTGATGAATGTTTACTCTGCTCTTCAATTTATTCGGATGATTAGATGTTCCTGATTGGCTCAATTTACTGGTTTATTTGTTTATGACAAATGATTCCTTTTCATTTTATGCCATCGAGGTCTTCATCTTGTTAAAATTCTTTAATTTTGGTACTTATTTTTAGTTATGTATTTACATACTAAAATATTTTATACGTAAAATCAAAAAAATTATCTACTTTTAAACCAAAAAAAAAAAAAGATTTGATTATAACTGAAAATACCCAAAATCACAAATTTGTCTTTTTGGGTTTTATTTATAAATTGTTTTCAAAAACGCATTTTCGAAAATAAGAAAAAGAACGAGTTTTCACTCTTTCGAAAAATCGAAAATAAAAAACGATTTGAAAATGATAAAGAGCACGAGCCCTTAATATTCAAAATTCCATTATTTCAAAATAATTACAATCAAAGAGGGGCTAAATGGGGCAAGTTGTTCAGCATCTTGTCGACTAGTCAGAGATTTGAAAAGAAATAATATTTTTAATAAAAAAAAATTAAAAAAATGTGTGAATCGCGATAGTAGGTGGACAACAAAGCTATTATTTTGAAAGCGAGTCGAGCTGGACTGGACTTACCCTGCGTGCCCACTCCGTGGATACGAACCTAGCTCTGAGGTGGATGTGTCATGGTACCACAACTTCTAACAGTGCAATTCTGATTTTAATCACCCTTTTTTGTAGGCCAACTTTCTTATATTTGGATGGTTTGGATTACATGGTGCTAAAAAATTAATGCATAAATTTTGAAACTCTCTTAATATCGGTGTTCTAAAAAGAGGCGTCTAAGTGCGCCTAGGCGTGAAATGGGAGCAAAACACCGCTTCGCGCTTATCATTTTTTTCGCACCTAGGTACGAGTAGCGCATGTTTTTTTTTTTTTAACCTTTTTAACGCATTTCAATGCTTTTTTTTCCTTTAATTATTACATAATTTTTAAATTGATTTAAAATTTTAAAATAATATTAAAATAAAAAAACGCTTTTTAATGCCTTTTTACGCATATGCCTCGCCTAAACTCGCCTAACCCTGGGTTTGACCTCCACGCATCACCACACATTANTTTAATACCAAGCAAATAAAATGAAGGCAATAGGCTCTCGGATAAAGAAAGAGCAAGAGTAAAAAAACCAGTGATTCAAATCCATAAAAATTAAAAAATAAATAGATTAGGACTTGTCAATACGCACCACATTAGGGTTTTTAATGTACAACAGTGGTGGAGTTCTTGGAAAACACAACACTGCAAAGAAATTTTTTTAGGTATTCTGCTCCAAGCTAAAATACGATGGCATTGCAATCTATTTACAAATGATATTGTAAAGAATGTACGGCAATGACTTTAATATTGTTTAATCACTTCTTAATGTTTTTCAAGAAAAGATGGTGGTAATTTATGAATATCTAACTATTTGTTTAAGCAAAGATAACGGGAATATTTGTGTATATAAGAAATAGATTTAAAAGTTTGTTAGCATTTTTCGCAATTTAGAACATTTATAAGCAAGTTAAAGCTCGAATGTCGAGTGTTGAGCTCCCTGCCGGCATGAAAAATTGGTCGTTGCTAAGTGCAAAATGCGATGACTTGTACTCGAGCTGGACATGGTTCTTTCAGAGATTTAGAAACCTGAAAGAAACATAATATGGAAGACAAGATGTAATAAAAATCAAAGACTAATGCACACCTGAAATAGGGAAGGTAAAACAAACATGAGATTTGTAATCCGCTATAAGCATTATACATGATTCAGCTGTTACATGCAAGCACACGATATATTATGTATCTTTGTAGATGTTTATTACATTAAAGTTCAACCAAGATCAGGCACGGTGAAAAACTCATCATCGTCTTCTTCTGGAATTTCAAGTCTAGGCTTCTTGTAAGGCATGAAAAATTTGGCTTGTTTATAAGAGGTACCATGACTTGGTTGAGACACCGGTAGTTGAGGTACTTCGGCTGCTGCTAATGCCTCCTGGCCTACTTGTTCTCCAAATAGGTTCATGTCTGTCAACCACTCAAGCTCCCCAAGTTCAAGTTGCTCCTTCTGCACAAATTGGAACATTACATTAATGGGGCTGAAATTGGGATGGAATTAGATAATAACTAAGCATAAGCATTAAAAATGATGGTTTACAAGATATGGATGGATCATAAAATGCAATGACAAGGAAAAATGATCAGAGACACATAACTCAAAGGAAAGAGTATGCTATGGATTAATCGTTAATAAGATATTGTCGAGAGCAATAATATATAATAACTCATAACAAAAAACGAAAGCAAGAAAACCACACTATTTAAGATGGTTCTTCTCAATGTAAGAGCTACGTCCAGCTGATGCCATTGCAGAATTATAATACATCGAAAAAGAGGAATACAATGTATTTTTGGACTCACAATTGAGAAGGAAAGGAGACTCGCTCTAATATCCATTATAAAAGAGGATATTAGGATGAGCTAATACATGTGCGTGTTTCCCAAAGTACCCCTATAACTTAGGTCGAACTGCAGTCGAGGGAGAAAGGTTACAATAGATTAAGCTCACACACCAACAGTGTAAAGTGTAAAGTTGCTTCAAGACCAGTAATTTCTACCTCCCACTATGTGTATGTGAGTCACGTGCGCACGTGAGGGGTGTGTGTTAAATACGTGGTATATATTTTCCACCATTTCTAAATCAAATTCATAGACAAAATTGATCGGCCATAAAAACGAGGCCATTTATTATTAAATTGTCATATATAGGAATCATAAATATCTTCATAATAAGCCATGAACCTTTACACGATTGTATCTAACAAAATTGGTAAATCAAAGTTATGCAAGCTCGTAGACCTGGACTCTAAAACGTACTCATCTTTTCATGCAAATGAAGTATAATATCTACAAAATAAGGCAATTGTCATCTGGATTTAATTTGCAGCAATTGTACAGGTTATTATGGACAGTACAGGGACATATATTTACAAAACGAAATTTATATTGCTAAATGAAGTTCCCGGATCATGTTCATCATTGATATAATTTCAAAACTAATGTACCCAACAGTTACGTGTGACAACTAGCTTACTAACCTTCTTGGATGATTCAGAGTCTGAAAATTGAAGCAAATCGTCAATAGCCCAGGATGGTGAGGTGATACTAGAAGGCTGCTGCATGGCTGTTTTCATGGTAATCTGTTGCATATTTGGTCTGGGAGACCTCGGCTCCGTCTGACTTAAATCGTCCTTATTACAACTGGAGTTCAAAGCAACCCGAATTCCGGTAGCAAGAAATCGCTGGTGGTTTGCAGCAAGACGATTGGCAGAGTGGATAGGTTCATCACAGTCTTGGCAGAAGAGTGCTCTATCTTCAACACAGAAAATGAAAGCCGGCTTTTCCTAAAATGACGAGTGCGTAGTAAAATATAATGAGGAATGAGAAAAGGTTACTAACTTCGTGAAAACCAAGACTACACATCCAACTGTCAAGCCCTCTAATGCAATCAAAAGAGAAACACGAGGCAAATCAAAGGAAAAAAACTCAGATCTAATACAAGATTTGCTATTCCATATTAAAAATGCAAGCTCATTCTTTAAGATACTCATTCATCATTATTTTAGGATCATTGAACAAGTCAATAGAGTTAACATAAACGATTCAAAACATTAAAGATATGTTTGTAACGAAATAATGGACACAACACGCGGATCGTCCCTAAATGCAAAACATTGCCAACATATTTGGTGGGGAGAATCGGACCACACAATATTAATGAACAAAACAGAGCTAAAATCTTATTAGTAGTAGTTGTATCAAGTACTACTTATCGAACATGCTCTTAAGGTATTTCAGGTTCAATATACAATTGAACAATACAATGGATCTTCTTTAGTATACAAGAGAAAATATTGTCGGCATGTAAGGTACTCAGTATAAGGGACATCTTCACATCATAATCAACAAAATTTTATCCATTTTTTTTTCTTTTATACTTTCAAAATCCTAATTCTCGCAGCCGAACTATTGAAGCCGAATTTTTAATGATATGTGTAGCTCTTTTTACAAGCTTAAACTTTAAGATCAAGTAGTTCAATATATTATCAAAGCACGCAAAATTCCTGTGTCCAAGTCTGGCTACCCCCAATGTTATGATATTGTGCTGTGCATATGTTAAGGTTTGATACATCATAATCAACAAAATTTTATCCTTTTTTTTCTTTTATACTTTCAAAATCCTAATTCTCGCAGCCGTATTGAAGCTGAATTTTTAATGATATGTGTAGCTCTTTTTAAAAGCTTAAACTTTAAGATCAAGTAGTTCAATATATTATCAAAGCACGCAAAATTCCTGTGTCCAAGTCTGGCTACCCCCAATGTTATGATATTGTGCTGTGCATATGTTAAGGTTTGATGAAAAAAATGACCCCGCCTACATGTGAGGGACGTGCTGAAGACTAGATTTAATCGATGTACAAGAGCCAATTATGTTTCAACACAAACATAAATATTGGATATAACGATCAATCTACTGCACGAAAGTCCAAACATTCCATAAAAAGCATAAAGAAAATGAAATGTTGAAATGTTTACTCGGCATATGTCACAAGGAGGTAGCTTGTTGGAGAGGCATTGAAGAAGCAGCCTTTGGTGTTTGCTTGCAAGCTTGTTTGCAGCATGCACTTCAATGTCACATTTAGCACACAAGGCAGCCTCATCAGCACAGCAAATCACTGTTGCTTGAGCTTTCTCACACACATCACACTGAATCTTCATCTACCTGATATGATCTTTTCTCTTATATTAAGTGCTTAGAACAGGCCCATGTGACAAACTGCACACAGAGAAACACTCAGTGAGAAAAACCCATAAATTATCTTCGAGGTTCAAGAAATACCCATATGAGGAATAAGGTGAAAGAAGCTATGAATACTACAAAATCAAACTTCCAAGCAACAAATAATCCTTAATAGTTCTCTGGCCAAAAGGGTTTTATTTGACAAATATCTACTAACTCTCAAAATTATATGGCTAAGAATATTGGTTTAAAATAGCAAGTGAAAACAGAAGATAAAGCAAAGAAGAACAAGGGTTTGGTTTTTGAAGTGATTGGCGGACGATTAGAGGTAAATTGAGCTATAAAAGATAAGGGATTTTGACGTGTATCAAATACTAGGACAAGATCGAGACAGCAAAGAAATGTGGTGCAAATGTAAACAGGATATTGTGTGGCTAAACCGTGCAGTGAGTGGCGAGATTGCCAAACCAGTGGCCAGCAAAATTT